AGGACACCAGACGTTCAACCTCCCTCCTGTAGGCAGACTCATCCAAACCTGAATAAAAAAACTGGCCGTTTACACACAATTAAGTTCAGCTTATGGAGTCGGATCATTTTCTTTTTCTGTGGATACAACTATCTAAAAGTTTGAATAACAACTCCGTCTCACTCACTTACAAAACCTTAAATATGATGTGAGTCTTCAAAACTTACACACAAACCACTGCACACGTTTGTAAGTACCATTACCATTATCAAGATACCATTAAGGTAAATCTATGTTTGCCACAAGTTCCTGAAAATGTCACGGTGTAAGTCCTGTTAAGAAGTGAAGTGTTTTTGAAGCGCTTTTACTTTGAAACAGAAGTGTGGAGTTTGTATAATATACAATTACAAAGTTTAACAGAACAGGATTTGATCAGACGTTGTAAAAATACTGATGGATTATTATCATTATTACATAAAGAGACCAGATGATTGAAACAGGAGTGTTCCTATTATTGTTTATGCTCAAGTTTTAGTTGCTAATGTCAAACCAGTACATCCCAGCAGCTTGTAAGGTGAAATATTTTACCAGTTATTAGTAAAATATTTCACCTTATTCTTGACTCAATACAACAGGAGCACCAAATCAACCCATGAACACCTTAAATGTCAGCTCTCTGTTGATTGCTTTAGTCTATTCAGTTCACTGATTGCTGGGTTTTAGTGTCTCTACTGGAACTGCAGAAAAAGGCAAAAAGTGACACAGTTAATGTTTTTGGTTTTTCTTCATGCCATGGAGGAATGCAACTATCTGGTTACTACTTCACAAATTGTGTGAGGAGATAAAGAATTGGACTGGATGACTGTTCCGAGATGTGGACTGGTCTGTTGTGCTGAACAAAGGGCCAGGCCTGAAGAAGTTTACCAGTTCCTCTACAGTATACTTAACTGGAAGATCTCCTCTCATCTATGACCACAACCTCTGTATAGTTACACAAAGAATAAGATTTGGATACAAGCAAATACCTGTTAAGGTATGGCTTTATTTCTGTGCCTCTATTCTGAGCGCACATCATAACATTTTGGAAACACAAATGTTGCATTTTGAAGAGAAAATGATTTTGAGTGAAGAGAATTCATTGCTGCATGCAAGAAATGTATTTCATTGTTTGCTATTATCCACACACACACACACACACACACACACAATAACAGCCACTCTCACTCAGATCTCTGCTCTGTGTGCTCACAGACATCTGCAGACCTGCTCTCAGTGTGTCGCTCTCAACATCTCTGCTCCATGCACGCTCAACTCTCTGCACACCATTATAAGTGTGCCACAAAACCAACCAATCACAGACTTGGATGCAAAAATTCTGATTGGCTGTTACAGTCTCCAATCAGCTTGCTAGCTACTGCATTCTGGAAACATGGTCCAGAGTGTAGAAAAATCCAGTGGAGTGGTTTGGTTTAAATTAGGTTAAAACCAACAATGGTATTTAAAAAAATTTTTTTTTTAAAATAGAACAATTCAACATACTAACTGAAAATGGATTTAACTACATTTTGGAGCGTGTTTTGTGGCACACTTATAATGGTGTAGAGAGTTGAGCGTGCACAGAGCAGAGATCTGAGCGAGAGGGGCTGTTATTGTGTGAGTATGGATAATAGCAAATACTGAAATACATTTCTTGCAGGCAGCAATCAATTTTCTTCGCTGAAAATAATTTTCTTCTCAAAATCCAACATGTGCACTTGCAAAAAATTTGTATTTGCACTCAGAATAGAGCCACAAAAATAACTTGAGCTGTTCTGGAGGCGCTAACAGTACAGTCACTACACAGTAGAGCAGGGCGATATGACCAAAAATATTTATCACGATATACATTTGAAAATTTGCAATAACGATATAACTGACGACATAATTGACACTAGAGCAGGGGTCGGCAACCTGCGGCTCTTTAGTCCTTATACTGCGGCTCCGCGTGGTTTGGGAAAATAATTTAGAAGTATTTAGCTGAAGTGTATTTTATTTATGTTAGTTCTTTTTAAACTTGTAGTTCTAAATTGGAAGATTATTTTGATATTGAAATATAAAAATAAAATTATATTTTATTATTGTTCGTCGCTCAAAATAAGCGTCACATTCGCAGAAGCCGGTGTACCCGCCGAAACGCCTGCATTTATCGAGACTTTCAACCCCAGGTAGGCCAATTCTGGATCTTCTGATCCACATTATGTCAGCAGCTCCACCGTGAAAAGACAAACACGCTCACGCCTCACAGACGACAGCTTACAGTCCTGCGTGAAGATGAAAGTGACTTCATACAGCCCCGACCTGCAGACGCTGTGCGCAGAGGTTCAGGAGCAGAAGTCCCGTTGTAAACATATCACGGCAGACCTGACAATGTTTGCATGAACACGCTTTACAGCTTCTCTTTATTGACCACTTTTCACACACGGTTGCTGTAAGCATTACGGTCGGCGCTGCAGACCACGCCCCGCAACACACATTTACCATGTAAAATAAATATAAGTAAATAAATAAATATTTATGCAGAATTTTGCAAATATTTATTTTTCATTTTTTTCAGCAGCATAGAGCTTTTTTCCAGTTATTTTTTAAAAGTCAGGTCAAGGCTCCAAAAGTTCAAAGGCGATATGAGGGCGGCTTTCAACAGTTTTTGTTTGCTGGATCATTTTAGTTCAGCTTTCCTTTTGTTATATTTCTTTAAGAGTTCAAAATGTGTTCATTACATAAATCAAATGTAATTTTCTCTGTAGCACTTCATGGATTTCATAAGCAGCACACTTTAGTTGTTCACACAAAGCATAAAGGTAAAAAAACAATATATGCAGTGTTATCTTCATTTTAGATGTCACAAAGTATTTGCAGCTGTCAGTGTTTTCTTTTGCGAGGAAACTGGGTCCAAACGGCTCTTTGGATGATAAAGGTTGCAGACCCCTGCACTAGACAAAATACGTTACAACTCCACAACTTTATTAGTGCAAAAAAACCCATCAATGTATTTCCACTTAAACAAGCAGCTGTTTTTTATCTGCATTAAAGTTATATAAACTTTAATAATGCAAACTCCTCGCTGACAGTTTAACCAAAAGGCATTTCCAGTGGAAACTGGCCGACACATCCTCAGCATAACCATGTATAACATCCACAAAACTTAAAAAGAGGTTATACACACACAGTACGGTAATATTATGTTGAAGCACAGTACGTATCACTCCGCGAGGCTCCTGACTACGATAGCTGTAAAGCTCCAACAATCCATCAAGCGGTGCGGCTTCGTAGCTCAGCAAAGTCGTACTGAAACATTTGACAGATTTTCGAGCGCCGTGCACATAAAATCGTTTCGAGGTCAGTAAACACAACCAGAGTTCGTACATAAGGCACACGGGATTATAAGGGGCTCTGTCGACTTTCAGAAAAATCAAAGGATTGATTTTAAGTGCGCCGTATTTTCCAAATGCGCTACCAAAAATAGTGCTTTGTTGTGTATCTGACGGACAAAAGCTAAACCAGTTCCACACCATGTGCGTATGAAAGCAAAGGTACTGCGCATTCGCGTTTTACCCATATTCTATCGCCATATTTCATTTTCTTATCGTTGCTCAATATTATACCGGTATTACCGTGAACGGTATGATATGGCCCAGCCCTACTACACAGCTCCGTAACAAGGTGTTTCTTGTTGGAGATCCTCAGGACTCAGTGTCTGAGGAGACCGGTGGACGGAGTAGGCATCTCAGCTTGGGCTGCTGTCCTCTTCAGCCTGAACTCCAAAAAAGTGGTAGACAACTGATGACATTGAAATTGTTACTTTTCTATAATACTTGGATTCAAAAACATCTCAAGTAAGTCTGAAGTAAGTGCTTGCAGACATTTCCAGCTCCTGCAAAATATTTTCAGCGTAAATAATTTACTATAAGAGGCAAAACACATTTAAATCTGAATTTGTACATTTCTGTAAACAATAATTTGGTTTAAATCAATTCTTTTGTCTTCAATAACTCATTGTTCATATTGCGATAGACCTAATGAACAGCTTGCATTGGCCTGACTAGTGTAATATTACACTTTACACAGTCGTGTTTCAGCGATTAGTGAGAAGTTTAAAAAGGTGACCTTTAATTGTCAACGTTTGGTTGGTCAGTAGGTCCACAGACCACTGTTTGGTGCCCACTTCTGTGAATGCTAAGGACGACATCTGCGTTCTTCGTAACAGGGGTGTCAACAATAACGGTCATTATTTTAATGTTTGATGGCTACAGGCTGACCTTAATGACCCACTTCACATTACTCACTGGCCTGTATATTTTCTCCCAGGAGGAGGTGTTTCAGTGGTGGGGGGAGTGGTCTACGTGGTCCTCCTGTTCCAGGAGCTGTGGAGGAGGAGTGAGGAGCCAGGAGAGACACTGTCTCATGCAGAGGTAACTGAGTGACTTTCAGATGATATTCCACCTTCTGAATATTTTGGTTTCCAATACATGTGCAGTCTAAGCCTACAGATGTAACTGTAACCCAGACGCACAAACACCAAACATTGTTCTGAAGAATAAAACAGATCAGCTGTGCCGTGGCTATCGATTCGTTTAGTAATTGCAGTGTTTCTGCACCATATTAAAATCATATTAAAAGAAAACATTTACATTTTAGTACAGTCATTTCAAATACAGTAAAGTACACATACAACCTAAATTAAGGCATAAAAAGCATCTCTGTCCTTTGAAAGGCTGCCAGTATCTCCTGGATGAGACCGGTTTACATTTATTTATGTCAGATAATTAAACGAAGTGTGATTCCACAGCTGTTCCCACACAAACAGCAGCACGAGCAAGAGTCGCCCACCGACTCCAGACTTCCTGTTTTATTGTGATAGTCCTCGTCTTGTGTGTCTCATGTTAACTCGTCCCTCCTGACGTGTCCCAGCTGTCTCTACTCACTTGTCTTCTTCCTCCAAAATAAAAGTCTGTCTTTGATTTATCCTTCATTTGTCTGTGAGTCTGCACTACATTCATCACACGGATAGCAATTTTTTTTTCACCTGTCCCGTTTGGTTCTTTTAATAATAATAATAATGGATTGCATTTTTATAGCGCTTTTCGAGACCCTCAAAGCGCTGTACAATACCACTATTCATTCACTCTCACATTCACACACTGGTGGAGGCAAACTACAGTTGTACCCACAGCTGCCCTGGGACAGACTGACAGAAGCGAGGCTGCCATCACAATTATTGTCTAAAGGCAAAGAAAGATCCCAACGGATTTACTTTACCAAATGGACCATCCCGGCCTTGCCGTATTGGTCTATTTGATTCACCTTTGCTTTTATTGTTTATTTTAATTTATTTTCACTTGCTACACACGGGACAGACTTGACTGGGGGAAAGAAAGAGGGAAAGAAAAACAGTGGGGAAGAGGGACGGTGATAAAAGGCAAAAAACAAAAACCAACAAAACAAACAGACAAAAAATCCATCTATCAATCACCTGGATCACCTGTTGAGAAAGAAAAAACAGAAAACCAGCAAAAAAAGAGAGCAATATAATAAACAACATGATCGCAATAATCTATGTGAATATAACAGTAAATACTAAATATTGAATATTATTGTGCCGGATCGACAGCGCACAGTGTGCTTTGAGGTAGGAGCCAAAAAGAGTGTAGTTTGTGGGTGTGATCACCCGTGTGTACACCTGTGAGCATGGACGCGCTTGTTTT